ACCTCTTGTTGGCCTGTAGGCTTCTTGAGTCAGGTAGAGGTCATCCACGCAGCAGAGGAAGCTTTGCGACTGCTCAGATTTTGCTGAGTGATCCTCCCACAAGATGTCCAGATAATTGAAGTCAGCCACGACAACTGTGGTCCTGGAGCATGCGGCCTCAGCCAGTTCCCAGGTGAACTCCTGGTCAAGCTGTGGACTTTGGGTGGGAGGTCTGTAGTAGACTCCCACTGTTGTCCCCTGTGCTGTGTTTCCCCATGGATTTTAACCCAGAGGGTGTCCAGTTGTTCACCCTGGTTGTGAACATCAGCTTGCAGGGACGTGTAGGTTTCCTTAACAGAAAGAGCTACACCCCCACCCCTTTTATCTACACGATCCCTCTTGTACAGGGTATAACTATCTGTACCTGTGGTCCAGTCATGGGTGGAGTCCTGCCAGGTCTCCGTTATCCCTATGACATTGTAATTATTTGGGTTAAGCAGGAGAACAAGTTCCTTCTGTTTATTCCCCAAGCTCCTGGCATTTGTGTACAGGCAGGCAAGTGTCCCCTTGGGGGCTCTTGCCTTGCCCACAGATTGTGCTAGGGCTGGGGCAGGGGTGGGCTCCCTTAAGTACCTTGGCCTGCTGGCTTTGCAAGGGTTGCTCAGTGGGCCAGCAGTAGCGGTAGTCCCTCCATCCCCACAAAAAATGCGTTTGACAGTGCTGCTATCAGTGTTCCCTGCTGCTGTACAGTTTTGTGCTTTGATGCAGACATATAGCATGGGTAGTCATTTTGCTCTTATTTTCTGAAACACCCTCTTGCATGGACTAGGAAGCACAAGTACCTCAAATGCCAGAAGCAAGAAATGTATAACAACTAAAATGGACTTGTAATCAGCCTTAATAACAACTCTGCAGTGGGAAATCATGGACATTATATTGACAGAAGGAACACACTCTGTTGTGAACTAAGGAAATTGATGGGTTGTATCTTAAGCCTCTCTAATTTTAGAATGGCATATTTATCGTAGCAGCATACATGGTAATTGGAGATTTGCATATCACTAGCACAAGATGAAATTAATGAAATCTGAAATTTTTTGCTAAGGACATACATGAAGCTTCCACAAACACTTTTATTGGATTCATATGCTAGTAGCTGTACGATGGCTGTATTTAGCTTTGCTCTATTCATATGGGTTGTCGTTGTCAGCCTTAGGCTGCCCTCTCCTCGAGTGTCTATTACAGCTTATTTTATCAAACATTTATTCAGAGATCAGGCCAAATGGACTATTGTGATAATCTAGCCTGATGCATGTATAACAAAGGTCATAGGATTTCCATGCATTAATGAGAATGAGAGGACAACTTTTAGAAAAATATCAACTCTGTCAATGTTTAAATCAATTGCTAGAGAAACTGCCACAGCCCTTGTTCCAGTGGTTGATTACCATGGCTAATTATTGTTAACACAGTTTCACCTCTTCTAGTTTTGAATTTGTCTAGCTTCAAGTTCCAGCCATTAGATCTTTTTGTAATTTTGTCTGATGGAGTGGCGAGCCCTTAATCTGTAAGAAAACTTTGGTATTGATAAAATCACCCCTTAATCTTCTGTTAGTTAAAAATCTGAGCTCCTTGAATCTTTCACTGTTGCACAGAATTTTCCAGTCTTTTAATTGACCTTCATGGCTCTTAATTTTATGGATTATCTTTTTATCTTCATTATGCTGTGCCTTGGTCTCCAAGATTAGCAACCTGAGGAAGAATGTCTTGCGTTAGAAAGCTTGTCCAACTTCTTCAGTTGTCTCAACTACATAGTTGGTCCAAAGATATCATCCTAAGAAATGTGTGCCTCTTGCATAATTTCTGGATCATCACAGTTACAATATCACTCTTAAACTACTTCATACTTTTGGACAATAGCCCTGGGCACAGTAGGTCCAGTTGTGACTACAGCACTGTGAAATACAGAGGTAATAAAACCTCCATATTCATATATATCCCTGGATTACTTTAGGTTTCCCCATATAATAGCAGCTCTATACACATCAGCTCACCTACTTTTTTTTCTTTCCTTCAGCTGTGTTTCTTCTTTCTGAGGATATCTATGTGTAGCAAGAATTTATTTGCTCCTACTTATAGGTCCTATCTTAAACTATGCCTCCCTTAGCTGCTGGTTGGAGGCTATGCTGATTTTTAACACTGTCAGAGGTTTGGACTTGGAGAAATAAATCTTGCACAATGAGACCTCTAGATACAAGTTTATGTACTGTACAAGACATTAACCAACAGCCATCCAGCACATCAAATCCACTTCAGCCCCATCATAACATTGCTGTATTATCACCCGTCTTTCTTTACTGTTCCTCTCTGGTAAAACAGACCATCTTATCTGCTGCTGTTAACCATGTTCACTGTTCTTCCATCTCCATTGTGGATTGTGCTCATCACTGGTATCCATGGATCTCCATGCACTTACTTTTTACTGCTGTGAAGAAAAAGTCTTTTCTTGTCACTACTAGCTATGCAGAATAGATACAGAAAGGCAGGGAATGTTGACTTCAGGCTGTGGATCTACATAATTCTTATTCAGATTCTGATTCCAGATTCTCTTTCTGGGGTTTTTTGTTGTTCTCCCGCCCTGGCGGGGGGTCGGGCTAGAAGATCTACTAGGTCCCTTCCGACCCTTAATCTATGAATCTATGAATCTATTCTGGTGATTGATGGAGAGAGCAACAGAGCAGAAATGGCACAGATTTTAATACTCCCCTTCCCACCCCATATCTATTTGAACTTGCAGCCCTGGTAGAAAAACAAATTCTCTAATTAAAAGTAGAACACAAGTCCTCTTCTGATCTGATTCTGCATGTTGATATGATACCCAGCCTTTTTCCTCTAGTGCAGGAGCGGGTCAAGTCTGGCCTGTGGGCTGAATCAGGCCTCTAGCAGACTCCATTTCCCAGCAGCCCCTGCCTGCCTTGCTGTGGCTGGTTTCCATGGAAAGTAGCCCCAGCAGTGCTGGCGGGGAGCCGCTACCGGGCTGGGATCTTGCATGGGTGAGTGTGGTCCGGAGCCAGGGCAGAGCTGTAACCTGCTGCTCGCACACCCTGGGCAAGGGCATTCAGGCAGCAGATTGTGGCTCTGCCCCAGCTCCATACCATGCTGTCATCACCCCTGCAAGATCCCAGCCCCAGGGCAGCTCCCCACCTAGCGGTGTGTCCTGCCAGCACTGCTGGGGCTGGTCTCTGGAGACCCTGGCCCTGAGCTGTGGCCCCAATGGTAACTAGCTGCAGCAATTGAAAGCAGGGGCTGCTGGGAAATGGATTCTGGCCCCTGTCTGGTTCTGCCATTTTACCTACCGCTGCTCTAGTCCCTGGCTAGAAACCCTCTCTCATTCTCAGGAAGCAATAGAAAACCCATTCTAGCTGCTGCCCCAGTTTGTTGGAGGTTTTATTTCTTTCTTTTGTACCTCTTCATGTGAGCTGTGCCAGATCAGTAAGCTGACTGCATTTACACAAATATAAAGATGGCCCTGATTATAATACAACTCACAGTAAATAGGTTCTATATATGGACAATATATTAATTTGTTATAAACTTCCAGATATAGAATCTACTTATTGGAGGCTTGTTTTGAATCTGTCTCCTTCCCACTGCTACAGCAGGGAAAATAAGTTAGCTTTCTGAAGCTTCCAACTTCTGTGCCTGCCTTCCCCCCGCCCCCATGTTTAAAATCATACCCTTTTTCCCTATGCTTAGGGAGGTGAGAAGCAAATTTGAAAACACTAACCTTGAAATAAGCATGTGTAGTAAGCTGCGTATAGTACCCACAGATTTAATTAATCTAGAACTGATGCATTTTACTTTTTTTGAAAAACTGTTGCAACTTTTAGCTCAGGTACTCTATACACATGCTTAAGTAGCATGTTGGCACACCTGTTTATGTAGAACACAAACTATGCATGATATTAGTCCAAAGCTAAAAGTCTTATGTTTTACCATGTGGTTCACTGGGCTGGGCCCTAGCAGTCAGCAGCACTTCAACCCATGGTGGCCCCACAGCTCAGTCCTTCTCAGTATGTGTGTACACTCTAGATGCATGCTGCCCACACCCACTCCCCACTCATGATGAACCAGGTGTTGTTGTCATGAGTCCTGGGATGCTTCAAATATTTATATGCAGACGAGGTGTAGAACAACCTGGTCTGGCTTTAATATGGCCCCACCTTCCATGAGGTAATCATATGCAACAGTCTGAAAGACTGCAGGGACAGGAGGATTCTGGGTGAACCATTTGATGTTAGCCAGACATAAGGCTAGTAGAGAAACTGGCATCATTGGAAATAGGAAAGAAAGGTGCAGCTCAGCTGTGGGAAAGAAAAGAAAGTTGAGATGTAGTTGGTGTAGTAGGTCACCATGACTTGAAAAAGTTGGCACTGAGGGGGACTACACTCAATGAGCCCTAGTAGTTAACTTAATCTTATGGTAAGTTCCTATGAGAATATTCAGTGTAATATTTTTGGCACTAGAGGGAGGGTGTCAGGGCTGGCTCTGCCCTTTCCGTGGCACAGACAGGGCCTGTCAGTATGGTTGCTTATTATTGGCTATGTTTTGTAGTCTTGCTCAGTGCTGGCTGCATTTAGTCACCTTTTTATAGCAGTTTCCTTTTCCAATGACACGCTGTTTTCAGCAGCATTTTAATGATAGACAATATTTTTAAAGAGACTTCATTTTCTATTAGTGTAAGGCAACCTTGTCTTGTATTCAGGTAAATACAGTAGATGCTTCTGCAGGTTTCATATATAACCACAGAGAAAAAATCTTTAAGCCTCCTAATTTCAAGTAATCTTGGGGTTTAGTACATAAAAAGTTTCAAATTTCTTGTTGCTTATATTCAAGACGTGTCCACTTACCTCAGTTAATTTGGAGGAAGAAGTACTGCAGGACTAGTTTCATATGTAATTAAGCATATTGAATATGTAAATGAAAGTGCAATAAACTAATAAAACTCTTTTTTTTCCAAGAAAACTGGACTGAGAATTCAGTGCGATTTTTGCTTAAAGACTACTTGGATGGGAAGGCCCTGGAAGGTGAAGGAATTCACATCAGAACCTCAATGTGTAATGGCTAAAAATTCCCTCAGTCATATTATTTTTGCACTACCTAAGCGGTAAACATTTAAAGACTAACATTACTGATACTTGAATAATCTATTGCTCCTAGGTTACTTGTAAAATAAATAGTTATCCCATCCTTAAACCACAGGAATGTTAACTTAATTATTTTGGAATGTATTTCTGGATAGGCATTCTTGCTCATGACAGTTCACAATGAAGATATTTGGAATGGAAAATGTTAAACTGCCACTTTAACATGAAAACATTTTTGTAATTTTAGTACCTTTGACTATTTTTATAGGGTTACATACCTTCAGACAGAAGCAGTGACAGGGGGGAGATGCAAGTTCAATCTGTACATTTATAGCTGGGCAGAGATGATGTAGCTCTGAAGTACTCAAATGGTTAGTTTTGCTGCTAAACAGACATGCAATAGATGTCCTTGTCAAACATCTGATTCCATCTATGACTGATTTACATGTGTGTGTAACCCCAGCATTCAGTACGAGTACCCTCTCCCCAAACTACTGTAGTCTTAGGAGCCTAGCAGCTCACAGTAGAGGTAACAGTAACATGGGGATTGTTGAAAGTTAGGATGGTGTAGTGTGAGCTGCAAAGGAGATTACACACACACCACACACTGCATTATCATATATTTTTCTCTTACCTGTTTCCTTAGTGATAGCAGCTTCCTTTTTAACTAAGACACATAGTTTATGCACAAGGTACTTTTAAAGTAATCTATGAAAACTAGCAACACAGTGTATGTAAAATTTTACAAATTATCATCCAGTCTAAGATGTCTGTCATCTTTTGATGCATTTAATTTAAAGGATGAATGACCTAATCTAGCTGGACATGGACAAATGAACAATTCTACTCTAGGGTAAAAAAGGGTAGGACTGCATTGCTGCTCAGCAACTCTGTGGTAGTTGCCTGTGTACATGCACCTGTACCATAGCAGCTGGAGCTTGCCCCTTCTCATTCAGTTGTAAAGCTACTTCGCTTTTGCTTCTACTTACCACAACCTTCAAATATATACACTGCAATAACCATGGAGTAGCTAATGTCAAATTTGACTCCTTTTAACCTAGAATGAATTGTTTGTATGGCCATCCCCTATATGGCTTTCCCCCATCAAATTCTCCTGGAAAGAAAATAGTGGTTCTTGTACTTCATTTTTATTCTTCCACCTCCTGCAAATACTTTCAGAGGTTTTTTATCCTAATGTTAATTTTTATTTCCTTTTAATTGGTACATATTTATTCCCTCAGTTTATACTAGCAGGTGCACTATCAGGTGCAGACAAAAAACTTATGAAGTTTGCTTAGTTAAAGCATGCTGGGTTTAATAAACATGTATCCAAGTGGCATTGTCTAAATGTGTGGAGAAGAAAAACAAATATAGATAATAAAATGCTTCTCAATTGGTGTAGGGAAAAAATGTTATGCTATAACCTGGACCAAGATCTGAATCTTAAAAAAAAAAAAACCTTAGTGTTTATAGTTTATTTTTTTAGCCAGAGGGCTACAATATGAATAATTCATTTGCATTAAGAAATGCTTTCTACCCTGTCTGACAGTCTCTTATTTTGTAGTTTGGAAAGCACTTTTCTTACATGTTCTACTGTACAAAACAGATGGAATTATAGGATTTAAATGGTTCTGCCTCCTTTAACGGAACATGATTTTAATTTTAGCGTTAGTTGAATACTTTTTTAGAGATTTCTCCCTCTTCTGATCTTTGTTGTAAAGCTGAATAACAAAATAAAAAGAACAACAAGAAAATGTCTTTGAAGCATGCTATAACAGTGAGATGGTTTGGTGTAACAAAAACCAAGTTTTGACATGATGGGAGATGTTGAAAGCTCAAGCTTGAATAAAACCAACACTCAGGTGAAAATTCTGCAATAGTTAAGAGTCTAGGCCTGTCTGGAGTTGTTAGGACACATGACTATATCACAGATGTAGTAAAAAAAAAAGAGCATGAAAAAAATTACTGAAGTAAAGACTGGTTATTACATGAATCATTTTTTAAAAATTGTGGCTGCATCTAGTTGTAAACCTTCTCCCACCTCTTACCACCTGTCTTTCTAGCCCCTTGTATATAACACCAAGGCCCATGTCCTGCAGGGTAGTTAAGTGCTTCAGTAAGTCCTACTCAAGCCAGGCTCTGAACCTAAGTAAGAATTAGTAGTTGTATGCTGAATTCACTTTATATGTAGGAAATCCAGAACAAGGAAAAATGCAGCTCTTCCTGATGGTTTTGCTATTGTGCTTCAAAGCACAAACCAGTACCTCTATAGTGCTTTAGAATACCAAGGTGCCATTTTATGTGAAGAAATAGGAGCTCAGTAACTTTCATACAAAGGACTAAGACCACTTTTAGGGCTGCTGCTTCCCTGGAAGCAGCACTTCCAAAATTTCCTGATGAGGGCTATGGGGCCACAGCTGTAGGTTACTGTGGTCCTCTCCTAGGATCTAACTGACAGAGGGGGGAGAAAAAATGTATTTGAGATTCAACCCCTCTGCTTTCTTTTCCCTCCTTCCCCATCAGGTATCACAAGGCAAATAATAAAATTTTTTTTTTCTAGCCTCTTCACACTATAACTGCAGTTTCTTTTCTGGCACAGAGGTCTGTAACAGGCTTCCTCTCTTACTTTGGGTGGCTGAACCAAGTGTGCTATTCCAGCTGGGGTTAGCCACCTAAGCATTTGGGCATGTTTACATTGAATTCCCTTTAAGTCATGGGCCAGACTTGTGGGGAAACAGTCATCAATCCACTTACTTTGCATAAAATACAATTCTAGCAATATCCTGAAGAGCCACATGACCAGGAGTGCTGAGTTTCTGGCAGGTAGCAAAGGATGGAACTAGTGCATGTCATAAGCAGTATTTTTTAAATAGCAGACATCAAGGCTAGAAACTAAAGTGTAAACATTAAAAGGAGGATATGTTTTTGTTTGTTTAATATAGATTTCCCACTTGTAGGGAAAAGAAGCAGTTTCAACAAAAGTAGACATTTAGCAGTTAGGGACAATAAGAAATATAACAGTAATCTCCACACTTTAACATGAAATCAACATATTGTTTTAATATATTGGAAAAAATATAGGGCTTATCCCTCATTAAAGTGTTTAATAATGAAAGCCCTAATTGAAATTCAAGTTTTACTGAATCTAATTTATGGTGAAGCTGTCATATTAATCAGTTTGAAAAATAGACTTTAATACATAGCATCTTCATTTTCAGCAAATCCTGTTTTGATTGGCAAACAATTTTTTATGGCACTACATGACATAGGAAAGAGGCCAAATACATGCACTTAGACTTTTCTATTAAAACAAATAATTGTTAAAATACACATGGTTTAATCCATCCTGCAACAACACATTCAGAATCTTTTCAGCATGACAATTTAAACAGCTTCCACAAGTTTTTATTCCCTGGCCCATTTAAGCTAGGAAAAGTGATACTGATAGTAAAAGTTTACTAAAGTTTCTAACACCAGTAACTCAGCAGCTGAACAGTCAACGTAAGTGACTTAACATTGTTAAAACATCTAAAAATTTCATCCTGTTTAAGGACTAGCACCAAGGAATTAGGTGTTTTGACACCGCACTGAGAGAAACTTTGATTTCTCTATGCATCTTGAAACTGGTCCAACATCACCAATCCCAAATGTGACTACTAATCTATTTAGCCACAATGGATAAATCAAATTTAAACAATTAAGCTATATTTATGCCCCCCCCCACTCTGCTCTATTTCATTGCAGAATAACCCACCACAAATTGAAAGTATTCCTCAGCAGCAGAAATGCCATGTGTGAAAGTGCCATTAACTTTACAAACATAATATTCAGACTTCTAAGGTGCAGTAAGCAGGATAAATAAAGTCATTTGGAGCTAATGACCTTTCTATACAGTAGTTTAGTTCTATAATAATGGACACAACAATTTAGAAGTAGACAGATTTTTTTTCTTAAAAGTACACTTGATAAGAAAACCAAAGCCAACCTACTGTTAAATGGGAAGAGAGAAGTGTGCAGAACCATGGACAGAGTTTCATTTTCTTCTTATAAGCTAAATCCAGACACAGTTAGGTGCTGAGCATTATTCCTAGCTTCAAAGTAAGAAGTGTCTGTTTCATCATCTGGTTGAGGTATGAAAGGCATCGCTTGATTCTGCAGATTATCCCAGTCTACTCCTGCAAAAAGGGGGTGACGTTTCAGCTCTGAAATAAAATATAGAGATGCATTAGGAGCATCTTCTAGTCATCCAGCCACCTCACTCACCTGCCAGTTGTCAGTAGTTTTGCTTAAGTGCATTGCCTTGGGAATAAGTGTCTTTATTAATAAGCATGCACTTACTGGCATAATATAAATGTTTCTCCTTAACATGATATTATCAGTGCCATGCTATTAGCAGCTCCCAAACTGACTAGCCCAGCCCTTTGATGGGTCCATCTCTATGTCTACGTGGTTAACAGGAGCACAGTTACATTATAAAATAGATAGTGGAGCTGAAAGATGCTATGCGCTTGAGCAGAGTATGCATCTAACCAATATGAATTTAACTGATGACTTATGATGTAATCAATAGGCAAGATATTGGGAGTGGCATCATGTTATGCAATTAAACCAATTACGCTGCAGACATTAAAAAACAGAAACCAAAAAAAACTGCTCTTTACCGGAAGCAGCAGTGCATTACTTCAGTTTGGCTCTGCAGCATCTATAAAGATTGGGCACTTCAGGAGGACTTTTTGGCACTTTTAGCTAAAGCCGATTCAAACAGTTACTCAATAAAAGCACCAGAAGAGCTCTGCTAAAGCACCCATTCTTTACAGATGTCAGATGAGCTGGGTTGAAGTAATGCACTGTTCTAGGCATGTGCAAGACTTGGCACAGGAATGCACCAAGTTTAAAGTGCCAGTTTTTGCGGTTGTTTTATGTCTGCAAGCACCCTTACATACTAACTTGACATTTATGCAGGTGTTGTACACTTTACTTTTTTGGACATTTATGTAAGCCCAAACTGGAAACAGCCTGCTAGAGTGTCAACAGCTTCCCGTGAGGTCAGAGTATTGCCATGCAAACTAACCCCACAAGTTAGGTAAGAGTTATAACTACAACAGAGATGCTGGATGGTTGTATTAAATATGATGCAATGACTATCACACAATATGTAATTCCTTTCCTATTATAGATCGCCTGTATAAGCAAACTAACCCTACTTCAAAATCTGGTTTGGTCAAGAAACTGTAAATGGGCTCCTTTTTCCTAGCTGCTGCAGGCAGGAAAACTGAGTCATTCCCAGAAGAGGATGGCTGTGCTGCTTTAGACCCAAATTGCAAAATGCAAATTTCCATGGAGGGTTCAAACGTGCGCTTAGCTCAGCAGAGGCCTTCTAAAGAGCAGTGTCCACAGGCTAGTACAGAGGTCTACTAACTGAAATGGGAATGAGAAGGGAGAAAAGGACAGTTGGACTTAAATTTCTATACTCCTTCTTCAGCAGAGGCTGCTGCTACAGAGCTGCAACAGTCAGGGGGGATAAAAATCAGCAATTAAAAAAAATAAAGTCAGATTTTTTTGGTTTAAATCCTTTTTTTTAAAACCTATATAAAGATTGTTTTAATTTATGATATGTTAAAGCTCAAAGATATCATCATGGAATAGAGATTATAACTTCTAATTATATATAATTTGAGACAATACATTCACGTAAATCTTTTTAGAAAAGTTTTATAAAAAAAGTCACAACAGGCTATGAACTATATTAGGGGCTCAATCTTGTAGGGTTCCCAGAGACTCCTCTATGGATTAGTAAAGATTAAAGAAAACCACTCTATCCAATAGGACTCAGTCTAAAAGATCACGTTAAGCATTTCTGTCATGCTTAGTTTCAGTTTTCAAACTCTGGATTTGTCTCCAGAGATAAAATCCTTGTTAACAGCAGTATATGGAGATGAGAGATAAAAGACCTGATTACCTACCCATCTGCCCTTTTGTCTGTGTGCAAGTTTGCGTACACAGAGTCAAACCCTTACCTCTCTCTAAAAGTACAAAGATTCAAGGAAGTTAAATGAATAACAGATAACAAACAACAAGAACGCACCTTTTGTAGAAAACAGTTATTAAAAGTCGAGGCTTCCTGACTAGTGATTTAAATCAATTTGATTTAAAGCAAATCCACCCTGCTGCAACTGTAAGCACTCTGACCAGACTGCGGGCTGACCCAAGGCACTGAAAAGGTCACCCAATACAAGCAATTAATGTTACATGTTTTCCAAAACCCATGGAACTTAAAATGCAGGAAGATTTATGGTAGGCACAATGTTAAAAAGGTGCTCTAAGCGAGAAGAGGAACTAGAAGATTTAGCATTTGTAAGTGTCCCTTTGCTTTTGTGTTAGACTACAAATTATGTTCCCAGACATGCGACTATTAACAGTGCATGCAATATGAGCAGGTTGAAAACTAACACCTTTATGTAATAAAAACTTGAGGGCTTTGCCTTACAGCTGGAAGTAAGAGAAATGCTTGGCTTTGTCTTTTAAAAAGGAACATGAATGCCTCTCAGAGAGAGCACTACTGGCAATAGTCACCGATTTAGATGCGTCAAGGAAAAACTTTGGACACTGGTTTTTTTGCCAGCTGTTGCCCTACCTCTAACCTCTCCTGTATGGAAATATCATTGAGGCAACCCCTGACAATCAAATTCCTTCTGTCCTGGATAGGCCAGGTTCTTTGGGAAGATGTGATATCTTATTAGACCAAGTGAGTAGTTGGAAAAATGTTCTTTGTGAGCTTTTGGGTGCAATCACCCTTCTTCAGGCATAGGGAGTCTTTGCTGTTCTGAGACCTCAGAGGAAAGAAAGAAGCTAGAAGTGTGACAGGATGTCAGTGAGAATGTAAATAGATAGAAATAAGGAAAACCAAAAGGTAGAGAAGGGAAGGGAGGTGGGGAAACAGAGGGGGCAAAAGCCAAAGGTAAGGAAGGGAGACTTTACTGTAGTAGTTATCAAAGGTAAAAAAGGCTGTCTGTGAAAAAGTAAATAGCTAGAAATTAGGAAGACAAAGGGTAGAAAAAGTGGGGAGGCAAAAGAGAAGTGTAAAAAGGCCAGGTCTGGCAAGTACCTGGTGAATCAGATGTCAGGCAGGTTGTAATGTGTCATAAATCTAATATCCTGGAGACTCTTAGTTACAATGGTAGAGGATCTCAGAACCAGGACGTAGACCAAAACACGCAAATATGGTCATATTTCAGTGGCCATTAAAGTAGCTAAAGAATTGTTACAATCAGTCAGATAGGATGAGAGGAAAGTAGAGCTGAAAGGGACCACGCAGGTCATCTAGCTCAGCCTCCTGCTCAAAGCAGGACCATCCTTGACTAATCCATCCCTTTTCATCATATTCAGACAATTGCAGGTAGCTCCTGGCATAGATTTATAGAATTTCACATTGGAAAGGACCAGAGTATCATTGCATCTGAGTTTGCATGCCAGGGACCATTACATTTCATCCAGTTCCTCCAATAATAAGGATAATAATAATAACTTGCATTTGAGGAAGCATCCTTCAGGAAGGCATCCAGCCTTCATCTGAACACATCAAAAGATGGGTAATTTGCCATTTTCCTTGGCTATTCAAATAGTTACCCTCAACTGTTGAAAAATGTGTGCTTTATCTTTTGACTTATTCTGGCTTCAACTTTCATTTCTTATTACAAGTAATTACACAGTAGCTCCACCTCCTCCTGGCAGAGTTCTCAAAGCCAAATGTTCCTCTGAGATTTTTCTCTCTCTTTGCAAGATCCATATAAGGCAGTTAAGTAGGGTGCGATTAAGAAATCATATGGGATACAAGGCCAGAAACATGCTAACAAGAGCTTAAGAAGTTTTTTTATTAGGGATGGGAAACCAGTTGGAAGCTAAGCATCTGAGGAAGTTAGACTGCACTTTGACAAGTCATATGACAAACATGTTAAACAATCATAGTAAACAGTGTGAACACAAAGCAAGGTCCAATTCAATATTTGCTTGCCTATTCAAACAGTGCAAAGCCTTGCCATCTTGTCAGTCTGGAGATTATACAGGTAACAGGTAATACCATGATGTGTGTTGTACTCTAGTTCCATATGCCAAGTCCCACAGACAATAAGTCAGGTTGTCAAAATGTTAGTGGGAACAGTAACATTTCCACATATTCAGTGTATTGCATGGAAAGCAAGAAACAAGTACAGTAAATACTAACCCTTTAGTCCAGCTCTCTTCGTAGTGTCAATAGTTAAAAGAATATCTATTGCATTTTGGGCATTCATGGATAACTTTTCTTCACCCTCAGGCCAAGGAATATCTACAAATAAAAAGAGATACAATTTGTCAGTAACTCAACTAATGCAGCAAACTCTTGAGTTCAGTTCTAATGGGAGATGAATTACCTCTTTTCAGAATATTTTGGAAGACTTGTTGTGGTGTTTCATCATTAAAGGGTGGAATTCCTGTTAAAAATTCAAACAAACAAACTCCAAGAGCCCACCAATCTACAGCAGAACCTAAATAAAGGAGAGAGCCAGGCAGTTAGCATAAAAGGAATGTTGCTTAAGCCGTATTTCAAACTATACTTTGAAGTCAATTACATCTGCAAAGTACATTGCCTAAAACTGGACCCGAGCAGAAATTGAAAAAAAAGGAAGTTCTGTAAAACTTCTTGGGAGGCTAGTATATTATGAAATATTCTGAGAATCTATTGAAGTAAGTAGGGGTTTCAAATAGTTTATCATCAAAGGGCTCTATATTAAAAAAGGCTGTATATTTCTCCATGTTAATGATCGCAACAATATTTACTGATAAATGATGGATGAGTGTACTGGAATAGCTCAGTTGCCAGGTCTTGCACAATATAGTTGGTGTACTGACAACAGTCTAGACTCACTCATGAGAGATGCTGTCTTGGGGCAAGAGAAAACTTGCAAAAGAACAATTTTTATGTCCTCTGCAATTCAAGATGTGCTCATTTTATTCCCAAACAAATGATCAATTACTCTACAAAACCCAAGATGTTGATATTTTCACTAGCCTAAGACATTGTTCTGCCAAAATATCAAAGACTCTACAAGCAGATTTCTGCTGACGAAGACAGTGGATTTAGTTTATTTTACTAGGGCAATGTGAAATTATTTAGGCTCCTCTCTCATTTGTTTCTAAATAGTTCATCCCCTCACACCCCAGCACACAGCTTCTACCAAACAAATGCAGTCAACCCACTTAAGCAAGCAAAGCAGACCAGGCACCACTAGCCAGCTGCATGCATTCTGTGGTTTTTGCATCTTCAAGCCATGCCCACTTCATTCTGTAAAGAACCCAGGATACACTTACTGCAAAAACTGGTTTGCACAGAAATCAAAGGTCGTCTTTTCCCTTAGTCTAACAAAAAAAGTAAACCCCAAATATTTGTACTACTTGTAAAAGCCTCTTTTTGTAGGTTGATCTTTAAGCTTTCCTAGATTTCTAAGCAGTTGTAGCTATAAATTAAACTAAACAGATGGGTGAAATTTAGTTTTCCCTACTCAATACAGCAGTAAGAGTGCCTCACCCAGCTAAGCATATTAAAGCAGTGAAATCCCATCCAACAAACATATTTGAATGTTTCAAAAAACCTTATGAACTTTAGTCAAAGTCTAATAAGATCACAACTCTAGTCAAAGTATTAAAGAAAAAGATTTCTGCAACTATTTATTCTTCAAGACCTGGACAAATATGAATTGTATCTTGGTGTTATCATATGACTTCCCAAAAGGTAAAAACTTCTGTATAGATAGCCAAACACAGGGTCTTGAACATCCTACCCTTCCTAGCCATGTAAGATATTAAAAGCTGATCTAGAGGATAAAAGGTTTTAATCCATCTATTTATTCTGAGTGGGCACATCTATGAGACACTACTGCATGGTAAAAAAAGTGTCACCATCTACACATGTGCAACATTTACTGCACACGGATGGTGTGTCAGCCCTCGCTTGGCTCTGCCAATCAGAGTGAAGGGCTGGGAGGCAGGCAGCTGCATGGGGCAGAGGACTGTTTCCCAAGCCCCGCCCCTGCCAAATGGGGCACAGGGTTTGGAGGCAACTGCTTCAGAGATGGGACAGCTCCCCCTGCAGCCCAGGCCTGACCCCTGTGTCCCCTGCCAGCCAGGGGCTGGCACCTGGGGGAACCTGGAGCTCCTGGCTGCTGTAGGGGAGCACATTAAGGCAGGAGTAGCCCTGCATAGCTGTGCTGTCAATGGGCGCATGTGTAGACGTGCTCTGTGTCTTATTTTACTGAGCATTTTTTTCCATCTACCCCCCTTTTACAGTTTCTGTATTTTGCCTCTCGTTAGCCAGAAAGCCTTGGAAAGTAATATGCGATGACTGTAGCTTCCAGTGACCTACAAACAGTACAACTGAAGCTTCTTAATAAGTTGGATCTCAAGAGATAATGCATTATTATCTGGTTCATTTATTGTATATGTAATTTTATATAGCAGTATCTTTACTGGAAAGTGTGATCTAGTTATACTTTGACTGCTCATAGTTTACTTGAACACTTTCTATAAAGTATTAGAGCAAACTCACCACAGGTCAGAATCCCTGTATATGAAAAAAATGAGTTAGGCATATTAAAATTACTACAGAAGCTAATTTATCAATGTAAGAGTCATAGTAAATTTTATCAATTTTGTTCATTGCTGGAGTAGCTTGTTCAGTTTGTTTCTGTGGAGCTTTCTGAGTCCCCTTAATCACATACACATAGGTTTTTCTAAGAGTTGACATAAATGTGCTTGCAGAAAGTTTGGAAAGGAACTAGAAATCTCTTAGCTGCGTTCCTTAATGCACCCTCTACCTCGAGACAGGATGGAGTTCATTAGTGACAGAGGCTTACAAGTGAGTTGAGGTCTACCGATGTTTGGGATAAAAGAACAATCCTTCTCAGATACGGGGTACTGGAAGGCTAACAATTTTACAGGTCAGTACCTTAAAGAAAATGCCAGTTTATTCCAAATTACAAAGCAGGCAAGTCACAGTAAATGGTAAGCAACTGAAGCTGCCCTTTGCCAATTTTAGAATGTAAAACAGGACATAAATCTGTTTTCCTATTAGAAATCCATAACAATCAGAACTTTTTAAAAAAAGAACATGTTCTATACATTTACGGTAACTTCAGCAATTGAGGTAACTGATTTTAAATTACGTGGAGGACAGCCACTTTATAAACAAGACCATTTCCGTGGGTCAAATCTGGGGGTGGGCCTAGTTCCATGAATATGAATTTTTACATCGACTTCAGTGAGGCCTGTCTTCATTTACTTTCTTTGTCTGGGTCTACCACATACATCCTGAGTAAGCCATTCTATACCTCAGTTTCTCCATTTTTAAATGCTGTTGATTATACCTGGCAGTAGAGATGCAGCGGTTTAATGTAAGGTATATCAAGATTCTTAGCTGGAAGGCTGTGTGGAAGTAGAAGTGCAAGGTGTAATGCTATATTATGATTAAGTAAATGATGGCTTTTCTATTTACGTTACAGTTAAGTTGTAAGACATTCTTTAACTTTTTCTTACTACATTTTAATACTTTTGTAAAATATAAAGTCCACTACTAACTAAACTGTTCAGTAGCAAATTAAAACAACTTTCAGATCAATTCAAAATTCTGTGACACTATACCCTGGATTTTTAATTTGTTAATTTGCAAGATTTGCAATTTGCCTCTCAATTTGTCTTTCACTTCAGTCTGACCCCATTATTACTGCCATTTAGTGAGTTTCTATTTTATTTCCTTTACAAAAATCTTCTAATCTGTTACCATTTTCTACCAAAACTAATTGTATTTACCACAGCCAGCCAGCCTGAATATGTAATGGGAATGCTCCATTAAGTCAGTGGTATTTCTTTTGAGCTCATAAATACCACAGATGAGTTCAATCGACTTAAATAAAGCAGCTTATTAAAAACGTGACTGTATATTCAACAGTGCTTTTTAATATCAATCCCAAAATAAAATTTTCAAAATAAATGGCTAAAGCCAAGAATAAGGGCAAATGTCAGTTATTTATACGTCTTTTAGGGCCTCAAGAGGAAGACAAGGGTTTAGAGGCTTAAACTCCCATTTATTTCAATGGCAACAGATGCCAGACACTGAAACCCCATTAGAGATGGTTTTGCATCTTTAGACCCCCTAAAGATCTTTAAAAAAATAAAAATTTGGTCTGAAGTGTCTACAGATTTGGCGTTCCAAATACTACCCACTTTCTTGCATTGCTAAAATGGTTTCCTTACCATGAGGCTTTGCTAACAGCAATTCAGGTGCCAGGTAGTCTGGAGTTCCCAAAATACGTTCACCTTCCATGGGGGCAGCCCCTCTTCTTACACTCTTTGGAGTCCTATATGGTGTATCAGCATCTCCTCCGTGAGGCGTCTTATGCCACATAATAAAAAGTTGCAAATGTCAAACACAGCCCATAGTGTACCCCTAGTAACAATACTGACTATGGCTACACTTACATCAAGCCTTTTGTTGCATGACTGTCTCAATCAAATCAAAGCCTAAAGGGATGAGCAATGTCCATTCCTTCATTTTAAAATTTTTCTTTGGCCTCCTGCTCTTTTGTCATAAAACCAGAGAAAATTATCTGAAAGAAATGCAAGACTAAATCTGCTTTTCTTACTGCCATTAAACTGTCTCCTTCAATTTTGCATCTTAAAAGTCATTTACCAAATGGATTGTTCAGATTCTAACCACTTGAGCAATAAAAACTCAATATCCAGCTTCCTGACTCAAGCAAGTGTGTGTATTCAATGATTTTTAGACTATAGTTACAGTTAAATTATCACCACCAGATTCCCTATATCCTGCATACCAGCCTGAGTTTATAAACAAAGCTTTTCCTATTTAAACCGCCAGCCCCACTGACTTAAGTCTGGAAGTCAAGCAGGATTCTTTCTGGCTTGCATGTTCACCTGCAATTATAATCTGCAGGCAGTTCTGTACCAACTTTAACCTGTGTGATGATTGCTCTCTATGGGATTAGACAACTGGAACTGAGGACATCCTTTGAAGGCAATGGGATTTCAACAAGTGCCCCCCAAAATGGTACTTACCTTGTTTTTATACAGCTGCACCCTTGCTGAAAAGCTGCAATGGTAATCTTTCTCTCTCCACTAGAGCATGTCAATGATACCCTGTGTCCTTTAGTTTCCTTTCAGAGCACTTAACACTCACTTGATCTCTACCTTTGTTCTTGATGCAGTAGTTTAATACACTATACACAATCATATTAGCCACAATACCCCAATATAGGGAGGTATATGGGTCCAATCTGATTATAAGTTGTATATTTAAAAAACACGTAGTTTTTATAATAAAAGCATACACACATCTGTTACCATATTCACATGCTACGCATAAGATTTTCTCACACCATGCAAGTCCACAAGGGAAAAATCACCTGCTTCCCTGAACTATGGGGGCCGAGTCCAGCAAAGTTTCACAGTTGGTTTAAGTCACAGTGAAGGAGGAGTTTGTAATCTAAACAAGGCTCTCTCTTTTCTAAAGAGAAAAACACCACCACTAGGCATTCAACGAATATGGTTAGAATTGCAAACATTTTAGCACTTCTCTCTGAGTCAGCTGTATGTTCACCTCCCTTCTCAGCAAAGTTATTCAGTTAAGCTTCTGTGATACCTCAACAGCAATATAACAGTGGACACCGCAGACTGAAATGTACTTTTTTTTCCCCCAACCTTTCCCTCCTCTCAGGGTCTTACTAAATGTAAGAACAGTTTCCCAAATCCAGACTGTGGAGTTATGTGTAAATTTAACAACAGTAATTTTATTTTACATATATTAGTAGGCAACTATCTCATCCTGTAGATCAGCAGTTCCCAACTTTGAGCCCAAATGAGGGTCATGGGGGCAATGCTGGTGGCGCTGCACACAAAGGACAAGCTGGGCTGCATGCCAGGAGCTCCCCCACTGCTCGGGCTGCCGCTGCCACTGCCATACTCTGCTCCCAGCAGCGGGTCGCAGCAAAAAAAGGTGGGGAAAAGAAAACCTACTCAAGCAGGAAACCTAAGGACTCCAGGGATAACTGCCCAAAGAAAAAAATGTCTGAGCATTCCATAAGGGGGCAGCAAGACAAAAGTAATAGAGTATCATCCTTTGTTTTGTCCTCTTCCAGCTTAAAAGCAAACAATCATCCATTCCTTACAAAAGGGCAAGCCATGACAGCGTTTGTTAGTGGCCAAATTATTGATGATGAGACTAAAAGGCAATTATTATGGCAAGGCATATCTAAGACCTGGAATGCTGCCACATTATTTCAGTCTGCTTTTGCTTAACTTGCAGATGGCCGCATCAAATTCATTCAGTGCTCATGTGTATATATCACTCGCAACAATACTTGGTCACATACCTGATAAGCCCTATATGATCTTCCTTTTTGTGCTGGTGTAATAGCCATGGGATAAGAGCCACTACAGGCAGGTGAAACATCCACTACATCTAAAGAAGCCATGCTAATTCTTGATGGCTCAGATGCATTGGACACATTAATTGGACTGTTATAACTTCGAAAAGCAACAACATTTTTTTTAAGGAGAGCCAGTGTTTTCATCATCTCCTCTGAAGGAGAAGACGCATCAATATGAGGTTCAGCTAAGAATTTTAGGTCAGTATCATGTTCATGTTGTAAAGGTTTGCTCTCCTGGATACGTTCTTCCTCACCTCTTGAAGTATCTTGGCAACATGGTGATGCTACTAACATGGCTTCAGTTTTTGACTCCTCAAAGGAAAGGTCTTTAATACTCTTATCCAAATCTGAAAGCTGTTTTTCTAAATGGCTCTCTGTAACAGACATCTCAGGGAGGGATACATCAGAGTCCACACTCAAGATTCCAAGAGGTTTCTCATCATCAGTGCCTAAGAAACTAGAGTTCATATATTCCTTTTTATCATCTTTTTCATAATCTACATCCAAATCATGCATAAGGTTCTTGGCTATTAATGGTATGGCTGATTTTTCTGATGTTTGCTGCCTACAGATAATGTCTTTAGCTTTTAATTCACCACTTTTACAGGTCTTCCATAGGCCTCCATCACTTGAAAGCATTAAGGACTGAATTTCTGTTGTTAAACCTGTGTTTTGGTTTTCCTGGTATTCTGAAATTTGACAACCACGTTTGTATTCGGCATTGCTTTTTTTGACTTGGTTAAGTTCTTGACAAGGACTGGTGTCAACTTGCTGAAAGTTTCTTTTGATACCTGGCTTTTCAAGAATATCCTCCTCTTTGATGGGATCAATCAGCCAGGAGCGGGGCTGCTGGTGACTGGATGCTTTTGCCGTTTCCTTTGTCAAACCAGTTTTATCCAAAACACACTTTTCTTCCCAAGCCTTATTTTCAGAAAGACATTTCCTGACTAGATCTTTCATATCTACTGCTGTCACAGCAGTGACAATTATATCAGAATGCTCAATTCTTGCCTCATGCCTTTTGCCAGAGTCAGAGTCATTGCTACCAATTGGAGAGATAACAGACTCAAGTTCCTTTGTCTTTAATGTTTTAGCATCTTTGGCATGCAACAATTCCATATTAAGAAGCTTCTCCGATTCCTTATTTACTTTGCTTGTTGCAGAACATGATGCATCTTCAGTTCCCTGAGAACAAACACATTGACATATTTGAAATGTTAAGACTCCAGCTTATAAGAAAAGTAATTTTACTGCTGAGCTTGAAAAGTACTTTAATTCTACCACAATGAACAGCTCCAACTTGCCATGCAATACAATAATCTAAGACAGGGGTAGGCAACATTTTTTGGCCGGAGTGCCGAAAAAACCACAATGTCTACCCTGGAAGGTGCCAGAGTGCCAATATGCCGGAGCCTGAAGCAGCTGTTTGCAGCCTCCTGGCTGCAGCTGGCCCATGGAGCCCAGGCTGCTTCCAGCAGGGCTTGCAGCCTCCCAGCTGCCTGCTGGGAGTAGCCTGGGCTCTGTGGCTGGCAGCAGCTGCTTGGAGCCCAGGCTGGCGGTGGCGTGCTGAGCAAAATGGCCTTGCGTGCCATGCTCGGCACACATGCCAGGGGTTGCTGACCCCTGGTCTAAGATAAGTAATAAAAAATCAAATGGAAAACAGCAATTTTGAAAGTCTGCTATTGTTTGGGATATTAGAAATGAGCTTTCTATTATGTCGGTGATGGAACAACTGTTACATAAAGAATCTACGCTTAAAGCGTGAGAATGTAAGATTACTGCAATTATACCAGGAGATTCTGCCATATTTAACTACATTATGATTTAATTCTCAGCACTAGAGATAACAATTTCTAGGAGAAAACACAACTGGCCTATTATATTTCATATACAGAAGTGATAAAAAGGAAAAAAGGCTGTTTTAATTTTAGGTAGCAGAATAGTAAAGCAGTGCCTAAGAAGCCCAGTAAGTTAGAGTTCTACGAATTCTGATTTTTACTTGGCTAAGGAAAGGTTTGTGTTTTCTGTTCTTCCCCACACCTTTCATGTTTTTCCATAAATGATTTCACCAACACTTTACAATGGGAGAAATGGCATTACGTTTGTCTTAGCAATGCTTAGAAAATCACTGTCAATTCAGTGGCATGCCAAAAGAAAATCAGCCTTAACCTAAAAGTTAAGCTTCATGAATTCTTGTGCCTTGGCAGAAGGGTGGTCATGGTTGTTTACCACCTCCTTAGAGAGGTTGTGTGCTCTCTTTCTCCTTTGAAGGATCCCTTACTGCCTTCACATTTTGGGTAATAAAGCTAATACTTGCCTCACTCACTGTAGAGCCGAGCAAAACCCAAAGAAAGGTTTTCCAGTCAGCAGACTATCCTCCAATCACATGGCTGCAGGCCAGTAAGGAGGTGGAATTTGATTTTCCTGCCCACTGTATAGCACAGGATAAGCATCTGACTGGGGAAAAAGCTGCCAGGGTCAGAGGTACCTTTAATTCGATGCAGATTGTATCCAGCTCATTTTCTCCCCAGTTTTGGAATAACCATGGGAGACCTCTCAAAAGCTGCATGATGATATAATTTGAACCCCCCAAATTTGTGCAAGTAAACTATAAAAGTAAAATTATCGTGGAGAATTGAAGCATTTCTGACCTCTGCATCTTTCTCCCACCTGGGGCTGCTACAGCATTCCGATTCCAGACTGGACAGACGTGTGCGTGAGTGGCTACTGGCACTAGAGGTACCAAACCTTTTTCTAGCTTGAAGAAGAGATGGAGTTAAACTCCTCACTGGCATCCCAGGATTTAAGGCAGCAGTATCAAGACCTGCGAGAGAAAGAAAAAAACAAAACCACCCCCCACCCCCAACATTGCAAATTTTAAACAGCTCCTCAACAGGATATTATGGTAGAGAACTGTTCTTGTTACTTTCCAATACAGTAAGTTCTGTGTTATAAAGAGGTCTGACTTACAAAATGACTTATAAAGTACATCAAAACTACAGTAATACTTGCAATTTGTGTTAGAAATATTAGGAATAATAGGTTAGGAAAAAAAAAAAAAGAACCACAATAAAGCAATTTATATGTTAAGGCACACAAAGTTATCTTAACTTTATTAGCATTGAAAATGTGGTGCACAATTTTTTTGAATTATGGTTTCTTTGGAATTGAGGAAGAATGCATCGGGAAAAATATCTGCATTGGAATCAGAACAAAACAAAAGACTACTGTTAATGACATATATTGCTGGGTGCTCAGTCTTTTAAATGAGATGCTGCTCCATGACCGGACCGTGATTTCAGTTGGTCAAATTAAAGGCAGAAAAAAGCAAACCTTTTACATTGATAGTGTTGCTTAGAACACTGTATGCTGTACTTACATGACTTTAACTGTTTACTCGAAAGAGGGGTATATTCCTTTTGACCCACAGAAGTGGAAGAAACTAATCCTTGAGAAAGTTGTGAAGTGTCAGACATGGGACTTGATGTAGGTCCTTGCACCTTGTCTCCAATTGGGGTGTACTATCAAAAGCATAGACTTTATTTAAAAAATTAAAAATATCTGTACAAAGAAAGCATCTGTGACTGTAAATATAATTATTTATACTCAGCTGAATTATATAACTGCAGCTCAACTGAAGTTTCACTCCACACTTTTAAGAAACACATTCATTTTTTTGGATAAAGTCCAAGGTTACTTCTAGAACACACAGACACTAGAAATCCAGTTAAAAGAAATCCTGGCCATGCTTAGATGACATGCAAAGAAAACCTCATTACTCCAGCATTATTTAGTTTCTCTCATTGCCTTAAATCTAAAACACTTAGAGAAAACCAAGGACATTTATAGATGTGCTCCAGAAGGCGGATGGGGGACAGACTTTAATTAGCACAGCTCTGAAAGCCATGCTAATTGAAAGAACCCAAAGCATCCTGCGTATCAGTGTCCCCCATGCTGAAAAATGGCAGCAGGGCACTTTAAACTAAAGCTTGTCAAACATTACTCAAACGAGCTTTAGTTCAAAGCGTCCCGCCACCATTTTTCAGCATGAGGTCGCTGTTACACATGATGCTGGGGGCTGCATGACCACAGTAATTTCCACGCTCCAGCAGACTTGATTAATTGAGTCTGCTCCAACACGCTGGAATTACAGCCTCCCTGCATGCGTGTAAGCACCCCAAAATTCTAAATTACTTACAAAACCCAGAGAACTGATGAGAGACAACACTTGTCCTGGAGTACGTGAATAGTCTTGCTTCGGCTTTGCCATGGATGGTGTAGTAAGGATATCCATCATGTTTATCTCTATAGAAAGAATAACAGATTACTCCAGAAGGTCAGGCTTTAGTTTTGCTGTCCAATAAATTAAATATTTTGATCATTTACCAACCTAATATGCAAGAGCAGTAAAAAGAAATGTTTAGCCTAGTTGATGTACTGAGGATATGTACCAGTAGAGGCCACTACATACCAAATTAATAGATACTCCATTTAATTGTTTCATACTCTATATATTCTTACCTATGCCACACCATGACTTGCATTACTAATAAGATATTTAAAAGCCCAATTTAAATTGCACTGTGCTGATTATATTTTGCATTTATTATAAAAAAATAAACAAACCTGAAGACTTTTGCTTTCAGCTTCTTAATACTATACCACACAGTTGTCAAAACTACAAGCAAATGTTTATAATAACACAACTGGGGGGAAGGGGTGCATATGCATACAAAATCACGACAGAAGGATAATAATTAAAGATCCTAGGAATTCCAAGGTGGGGCAGCATTGTGGGGGGAGAGGGGGGGGTTTGGACACACTACTCCAACCAGTGTGCAGTACTTCAGTACCTTGTATTTAAATACTCTACAAGTAGTTTTAATAATGCTAGACTACCACCATTAGTAAGTAGTTTCCCATTAAGCTTGTAAATTATGGGTCTCTGGGAGGAGAGACTGGAGGAAGATAGAAATTCCTGCCTTTAATTAAAAAACCCAGCAAATCTGAAAAAGTTTTCTATGACGAGAACATTCAGGTTACAGTTAAGTACTGGAAAAATAGAAAATAAAGTTTGTACATACAACCTAACACCATTACTGGGTGCATATTTAAAGGGAATCAGTTAAAATTACATCCTATTTTACACACACAGCATGCAAAGTTTTCCTATAATCTTAAAGGCATGCATCTTCTAGACATTTTTCTTCTATATTTACACTAATTCTACTGACAATGGTACAATACTGTGTGGAAGACAAGACTGTCAAAAACATAGTAAATTACCTATTAACACAGGCAACCTGTAGCATCTTTATTATGCAATGTTTACCTATGTGGTATGCTGTGCAGTTTACTGTGTACTTATCATGGTTTGCCTGGCATATGTGGCTGACTAGCAATATACAGTATTTAAGGTTGTAAAAGAAAACTATATCACCTGAAAGAATAGCTTCATCTAAGACATAATAAACATATAAGAGGAAGCAGCTTGAGACAGTCCAGAGGAGAGCCACTCTTACAATCCAAGGCCTGGAGGGAAAGCCATTCGAGGAGAGGCTGAGGGACTTGGGACTCTTCAGTCTGGAGAAGAAAGGGCTTGGGGGGACTTAGTGGCAGCCTACAGCTTCATAAACAGGGGTACATCAGGACCCGGGAGAACATCTGTTCACCAGAGCTCCCCAAGGGATAACAAGGTCCAATAGCCATAAACTCCTGGAAGGCCTATTTAGACTGGATAGAAGAAAAAAATTCTTTATGGTGCATGTGTCCAGGGTCTGGAACAAACTCCCCCCAGAGGTGGTGCAAGCACCTACTCTGGACTCCTTCAAAAAGCAGCTGGATTTATTTCTCGCTGGGGTCACTTGATCCCAGCTGACTTCCCACCTATGGTGGGGGCCCAGACCCAATGATCTCACAAAGTCCCTTCCAGTCCCTAATGTCTATGTACTCTATAAAATCTATAAGAGACCCCACTTTAGAACTAGGTTAGATGCATCAAGACATGATCCTTTCAAATTAACATTAACAATTTAAGTTAAGCATAGAATAATTACTGGAATATATATATATATAACACCATCTGTGTACACAATGCTTTAGAGAGAAAACATTCCCCATTCACAAAACTAAGTAAAGAAATACTGTCGCTTTTAACAAAACCTTTTGCCGTTTGACTAGCATGTGGTGCAGTGCTAGTTACAGTTGGGTATATTTGTACAGTACCCTGCTCCCTGATTTTATTTAGGGCTCCTATGTGTCACTGGAATGTAAAATGATTTTCAGAAGCATACTAGAATAGTGGTGCTCAATCTTTTGGCCCCATGGCCAGATCAGGCCCTGAATGTTAGGATCAGGCTTGTGCTGCCTCCACCTGGACTTGTTTGGCCCTGCCCTAATCAGCCCCACTCAGCTCTGCACCACCCCACAGTCCTAATTGGGTCCACTCAGCCCTGCACAGTCCTACACTGCTCCAGCTGGCCCTGTGCACTCAATCCAGAGTGCAGGGCTATGCTCACCTGTCTGTAGGGCTCTCCTCAGGTCTTGAAATTTGACAACAGGGGAGTGGCAGTCAGCCGCTAACTGGGAAGCCCCATGGACTGGATTCTGTGGGCCTGATCTGGCCTGTGGGCCGAGGGTTGAGCACCTCTGTACTAAAACATACTACTTGGGCAACAGCCTATTTTTATGCATCTCACCTCTGTTCAGAGTAACCCTGGAGAGGCCAAAGTCTGTCAATTTTACATGGCCTTCATTGGAAATCAGCATGTTATCTGGCTTCAGGTCCCTGAAGATGGAGATAATGGAATAATGTTGGTCAAATTAGCATTACAGAGAAAGAAGAGATTGCAATAAGCAGAAAAAAGAACTCAAAACCAAAGATAAAGCTATTTTTAGTTCTCTGTAATCAATAAAAGGAGACCATCCTTGCTTAATGCAGATTATAGAAATGTCAAATGCCAGAAGTAAGTGCCATAAAGAACATATCGGACACCATTATGCCACCATACGTGGCACACGACTTCCATGTCTCAAAATCTGAGTGTGTTCTCTATCCTCCTTGCCTTGCTTCCCTCCCCACCCCAAAGTAAAATTCACACTGAGAACTGGCATTCTACCAAGAACAAGCTCTGGTGTAAAGGTAGCCTGAACTATCTAAAATAAAGTGAGGAAGGAGATGAACCCTGTAGCTCTCTCTCACAAAAATGAGTGGTGGTTGGGACCCTTTGTGGGAGGGAAGGATATAGAACATGCAAAGCAAATGACTGGCCTCTGGCTAAATGACTCTGGGATCACCCTCATGGGGTTCGGTCACTCTACAGAGGGATCCATGTACTCAAAGAATTCTGGATTTTATTCCTTAATGATTACAGACCCTTTTGTCTGTCTCCCTCTCCTCCTGGCCTACCAGCTTGCAAGGCTAAAGTTAGCAAATCTCTAAAAATAAAGCTATTAAGTCAGTCCTTAAAACCCCAAGGAAACTACATAACTTTTCTACATTCTTATACCATACCCAGTTTTAAAACTTCCCATGGAAATAAAACCAACCCCCCACCCCCAAATGATAAATCTACATAGTGGGCTTTACCTATGGATTATCCCATGCCTGTGAAGGTAATCAAGAGCCAGGGCTGCTTCAGAAATATACTTTACTGCCATTTCTTCATCAAAATATCCATATATGTGGAGAAGAGATTTGACATCTCCACCAATAAGGTATTCCATCACCTGCCACATTGAAAGGTTTCATTTTTTAATCCAAAATATTTTTCAGTATCCCAAATTATTAATCTAAAGCTGCACACAACTATGAATCACATTTTTTTTCTTTAAAAAAAATCATTTTGCAAGGAGTAAGATTAGTAAGTAGCTTTCTTGTGGTAACTTAAACTATTTACAAGATTGGTTACATCAGGAATATTTAATGACTTTCCTTTCTATTTACAAACAGTTAAGACTCCAGGTGGCAACAAGGACAATTAAGCATTCCTCAGATACAGAACTCATGTGTGTGCAGGATTTTTTAAATCTGTATGCCCAATCTACCTTCTGAGATCAGCTTTCCAACAACTTATAATGTAGACTAACTATGCTAATTGCATGATCAAATATTCAGAACTGAGTGGGAATGTTCAGAAATCTACACATTCTGAATTGACAATTTCTCTAGACATTGCAATGTTTCTATTCATAGTCTGACAATTTGGGCTTCATATTGCCTTGGCAACATCAGAGTAATACAGTGATCTAGAAGTTAGTCTGAGGATGAAATCTAGGGCTATGTGGGGACATACACACACATTTACTTCCCATATAGCCCATTTTACTCCATGCACCTGAAACACTAGCACAAAAACCATATACATTTTCTCATCAGTGATCTATACATGTTTTTCCAGGTGCACACAGTTGCAAATTCCCCAGACTGATCACATACATTTTTCTTTATTTTCATTTTGCACCAAAAACAATGCTAGGCATTCTTAACCAGGTTAATTGTCTAGAAATATAGCATTGATGGGGAGGGAAGGGGGACTGGAATATAAATACAAGGGAGGAGTTAAAAAGGGAAAAGAAGATAGTAATCCCACCCAACTATTTTGGTTAAGAACTGATTTTGGATGAAAAAGTTAATCCCTTATTGCCAGAAGATATTTTCAAACAGTGACTTCTTTAATTAATTCTGCACTATATTTTCAAGACTACAGTAAAACTCCATAGCCCTTTATTTACTCACCAAGTAGATGTTATTAGCTGACTGAAGTGAGTAATATAAGTGCACAACAAAAGGGCTTTTGCTGAGAGCCAAAGCATCTCTCTCTGCCTGGACCTGGTGAACCATGTTTTTATTGATCATATCTGCTTTTTTGACTACCTGAAAAAACAACGTAGACATTAATTCAGGATAATACTCATCTTAAGAACACATGCATTGCAACAGCACAAATGAGAAGAGTTAGTTTCCTACATTAACTCTTCGCCAACTCACTGAGGCCCATGCTCCATGCCCCATTAGAACAGCTAAAACTACATTGTATAGATTACCCTCATGCTGGCAAGGGAAGTATGGTTTTGTACATGGACACCTATCTGAGAGGCAAAAAGTAATTCTGCAATATTAAAAAATGATTTATACATTTGTTTCTCAAATTAGTTTATTAATAATCCAAGAAACAAATTGCATATAAATGTTATTGCATGTGCCAAAAGAATCTTAAATGCTGTTCACCAATATCTGCCCACTATATGGAAGCAACAGGCTTAACATGAACATAACTATTACAAGAGTAAGTTTATTAAAGAATCATGATCAGGAATAATTTTAAAACTCTGAGAAGCACAACAGATACTGCCTGGAATGCCTCGACCAGTTTCCTAATTTAATGTTTTAATAAAAGGTGTGTTAATAGAATTTTTGTGCATAATTATTTTTTCAAAAGGAGGCAAGATCAATAAGACTATACTTCTCAAAAACATATGGCAGAGGTTAGTTAGAACGAAAATTCTTTGGAAGACCCAAACATTTTTCAGCTTGCATAACCAATGAATCCTGTGTTTAAGTGGCTTTAATGAATTCTAAAGATTGCTTTTATGGCACCATTTTTTTTTGCAAGATTGCTTATTACAGAAAAAATGTGCTTTTAATTTTATCTTCCGATACAAGGTAGCACTCTGAATGCCATTAAACTATAATATAGTTAAATACTTACTTAAGAGTGACTAATTTCTGCTTATACAAGAAAAACAGTTACATCAAATTCACAATCAAGTTACCTAACAAGTACTGGTCCCCTCAGGGAAGCAGAGGAGGGAAAACCCTTTGTAAATTTAAGCAACTCACAATAGAAAAAAAAAAAATCTCTTAGTTGTGACCTTTAGCAACAATACCATTTTGAATCAAATGCGTCCGTTGGTTGTGCCACCTATTGTTACTGTCCACCAAAAAACACTTACAAGGTGTTACCATATTGGGACTAACATACTTTTAGGTTTAATCTGCTAGTGGTGCTACAGCAATTGTTCTGGTTTACTCTAAATGCAGTAAGTTTAGTTGTAACAAAATGAAATCTATCCACACTGCTGTGTGACAGCACTTTCCTTGTTAATCCTTGGATCCACACAGCTCTACATTAGTTTGCATTAGCTTCTAGGCACTCAAAATAATAGTTAATGGTGGACTGTTGTGTTACTTTGCTTTACGTTGATTTTTCACACCATGTGTTCAGGATGTATGCCAGAAAGTACTGGAATTATACTAAAAGCATCTCAATTCTTCTTGAATCAATTTTGACAGCACTACTAAGAACTGTCATTGAAGGAAACAATGCTGAGCACCATGATCCTGGAAGTCATTAATACACTATGCATTTAACTCACATAATGAAATGATTTGACTCTTGGTTTTATACAGCTGTTAATGCCATGGCAGCATGGTTTATTTCCTCTCACCTCCATTAACAAAGAGAATAAAGTCAAGTAATTACTTCTATAGAAAGACTTGTGGGTCCCTTATCCAGTGGAGCACTGCCTAATAGGAGGGGGATTATACTGCAAGACTGGGATGAGCAACAAGGGCAGCAAAACTGTAGAACAAAGGCACCACAATCACCACAGATTAGTCAGTAAGTACTCATTTTGGTTCTGGTTTTGTGATACTAGGAGAAGGGTGTTTTGTGCTGTGTTAAAGAGCTTGCATATAGGAGACTGTTGATTGTTTTGAAGGTATGGAATTCCCAAACTGCATCAGGGCCATTGACAGGACCCAGCTGCCTATTCTTTGCCTCTCCCATAGCAGAACAGTTTCATCAACAAAAAGGGAATTTCTCCTTGGTGCTGCAAGGTCTGGTTCATCACCACAGAAAATACATCAGTATTAGTGTTGGGTGGCTTGTAAATTTCTATGATGCAAAGAAACTTGTATTTGCTAGAACAAATGCATAGACTTTCACTCATCAGAAAATGAGGACTTGCAGGGCTATTTTTCTCCCCTTGCCTCCAGCTGCAACTCCAGCTCCTGCCGTGCCATGCAGCACTGCTCTGGGTGGGTGGAAGCTTCAGCCCAGCGCATGGAGATCTGGCTCTGGCTCCAGCTGCCTTCCATCTGCTCTGCCTGCCCAATGCAATGGAGCAGCCCCTGTGGGTGGAGCAGGTAGAAGGTGGCTGAAAGCTGGAGCCAGAGCTCCATGCACTGGGCAGAAGCCACTGTGCTGAAGCTTCCCACCCACCTAGAGCAGCATGGCAGGGGCAGGGGCGGCAGCGACAGCTGGAGGTGAGGGAGGCAGAACAGACCCACTGGTCCTGGCCAGAGCACAGCTTGTGGTGCAGCTGCCAGGCTGCTGCTGGGTCATCCCCACTCATGCTGCCAGACTGGGCTGTCATGGAGCTGCAGCAGCTAGGAAGGGTCCTTCCCCTATGGCCTGGCCCAGGCCAGCCCTGCCAGTCCCTTCCCCAGCCTGCTGCAGCTCCATGACAGCCCCACCTCATCTGGGCATAGGGAGCCAGGAGCAATCTGGCTGCACAGCTCCCACTGCCCCAGCCTGAGCCGCAGTCTGCTGGGAAGGGCCCAGCCCCCACAAACCAGCCCAGGCTGGCCCCTCTATGTCTGCTCTCAGCAGCATCCACAGGTTAGGATGGCTCAGCGCTACAGCCCCAGCTGCAGGCAAAGCAGGCAGACCGGGGGGCCATGTGGGCTGACTCTAGCCCTACCCCCACCCCTGGAGGGGATGCTTGACAGGGGCTGCTCTGCCCTGGTCAGGCAGGCCCTGGCTGGGGGGGGAGATATTAAATCCCACTCCCTCTCCTGCTTTGCTTCAGGCTGTGGATGGCGCTGGCCATACACCCTAACCACTGCTCAAGCAGCAAGGGGGGGAGGGGAATGCCGGACAGACTGCTACATGGGGAATGTCTGTACACCACTGGCCAGGCAGACACCAGCTACGGCCCCCCCAGTGAGAAGGGGGAGGGGGTGTGGAAATAAATCCCCCTCCCTGCTCCCTTTGCCTCAGGTGCCATGCTGGGCTGATGTCTGGCTACCCCCCAGCCTCGGCTCCAGCTAGAGAGCAGAGGGGTGGGGCCAGCCCTGCTCTCTGGAGCAGAAAGCCCAACCCAGTCCAGGGCTGCAGAGCATGCTGGGATGCTGGGGGACTCTGATTTAACATAAACCAGGAAGGGATCTATGACAGAAGTTCCATAAACTAGTTTGACCCAAATCAGTTAAGTGTGATATACTACATTCAACCAGGTTTATCTTCAACCAGTTTCAGCCATTTTGAAACTTGTTTATGTGCACTTAACTTCTGTTACAGGTCTAAACCAGTTTCTGATTACTTAAACATCTTTATGTGCAACTTCTGTCCCTAGCTTGAGATAACATAGCAGCTCAGATACCACTGCTGCCAGGAGCTGCTTTGACCCCTGTCAAGAGGACAAGGGGGAAGTGAGTGGCAAGCCAACCTGACAACACAGCCAAACTGAAGGGAGGGAGGAAGGGGTTGAGTGGGACCACCTGTGAAGGAGCAGCTCATTGCTTAATTGATGAATCAATTCTCTTTAACCTCTGGCTATGGGTACTAGTCCTCCCTGGCCCTTCCCCGATGCCTTCCAGTTCCTGCTGGGGCGCTGCATGGCTTCCCTGACAGAGTGCATTCTGGCCTGTGCTAAACAATAACTGGTAAGCTAACCAGTTATCACTGGGCTTATCAATTAAATGATTAAAGTCTAACTTCATGGTCCTCTGCTATGAATTGAGTATTTCATAGTGCAGCTCCTTGACATTCCACCTTTGCCCAGCTAGAGGAGCTGAAGAAAATTTAAAAAAAAATGCAATTACTTGTCTCATTCCATACTTGTAGTCTTCATAAAGGTAAAATATTTTTCCCCCCACAACTTTGACATGTCATTTTCAGCTGCTCCCCTTGGTTCCTTCAAGATGGATAGCCATTTCCCAGTTTAATTCTCCACAACCCCCTATATCTTGGGGAAAGCAGTGGACTGTTGGTCCTGTATAAGAAATGGAATCATTTACTTTCAGGTGCCTGCATATTTCATTTTGAGAGATGGGAGTGCAAGAAGCAAGCAGCTTTGTAAGGGAGGAGGGGGAAAGGATATGAACATGAAAACTAATAGCTTTTTATGGTATTGGTGAGACTTGATGCTGTAGAAATATAACAGTATCAAATGTTTTAGTATCCATCATACAGGGCAAACTGGGAGGGGGCAGTTAATGCCAAGCAGAAAGCGAGACAAGAACTAAGAGACACGCACTGAAATAATCAGGCAAATTAAAACAAGCAAAAGGAAGTGACGCGTCTGCAACATATTTGTTGCCACAGGACACTGTGGAGGCCAAAGAGCATAGAAGAGTCCAAATTCATGGAGGCCAGGTCTAGCAAGGGCTACTCACCGTAACAGTTAGGGATGTATATTCAGACTTAGGACACCTCTAAATCTGTGACTCCTTGTGCTTAGGAGGGTGCGACATGGGATCACTCTGCACCTCCAACCACCCTCTCCTTTTCCTGTACACATCTTGAGCATCTACTAGATGGCCCTTTGGTCTAACCTAATACGGCAGTTCTTATACTCTTAAGAGGCCCCTAGGTCCACCCAATAGTGTCAAACAACCAATACCCAAAAGTGATGGTTTAAATACATGACTGCAGATCTACTGCAATACAGCACATAATATTTATTGGCACTGCAACCCTAAGGATAACAGTAGTTTTCAGCAGGGTTGATAGGACGCTTCCTGAGTGGCTTCAGGACAGCTGTTGACAGCTAGGTCCTTATGCATCATCAACAGCTGTCATTCTTGCCTGTACTGGCAGTTCTCCTGTCAGACCCCCTGGTATAAGGGTATTATTCCCAGTTTGTTGGGATCTTGCAGTATAGTCTTGATGGCTATCCAGGACATCTGGGTTCCCTGATGGCACTTCTTACTAATTTAGTTTACAGCACAGGCAGAGAAGAGAAGCACTACCAGGTCCTGTTCTGGTCTTTGTAGATGCCTTCTCTGGGTTCATTCACTTTGACACGGCACTGCATTAACTTCCAGAGGTGACCCCCTCTATTTCCAATGGCAGTGCCCTCTAGAGGTCTGCTTGCCAATGAGATGGGACTGGACATGGAACACTCCAAACAAGGCAATCAAGTCCAGGATCTCTGAAAAAGCTAGGCACAAGCATTGAGGACAGGACTGTTGCTTGGAACTGAAAAGAGACACCCCTGGCTCCCCACCAGCTGTTAAACAGATGTTATATCCCATTAAGTTGACTAGAGCAGCTGAAGGAACACATACAGCAAGACAGGTCAATCCATATGTGAAACAAGACAGTGTAGACATAAGGCCAACTAGTTTGGAAATGGTTCAAGTACACCTTAGAAATAAATCCATTTTGCATTCACTCTGTATCAAGAACGATAAGTCACTGCAAACCTAAGGCACCAAGCAAACTGCTTCAGCAATGAAAAATATCAAACGTTTGATATTCCCTAACAACAAATTCAAGGTAGAGGCTTTTATTGAATGATTTACGCTAGCTATAATACAGAAAATCTAAACACATTACTGAATTTAAGGACATCATGAACGTGTAAGCTATCAAGTTAAATGCTTAGTCCCAAATATAGCTCTCTGATTTCAATGCAACAACATTAAAGCATGTACAGAAGAGATTTCAGATCAGGGCCCAAAGTAAAGAAATCATTCTACACTTAAGGATGATTCATCAACGTACCAGCTGCGGACATAGCAATGCAACCATTGCAAAACACTATCAAACAGGAATTGTTTCACAAGCATGTGAAATGCTGTGGCTCCAACCCCAGCATTTGTTGCAGTTAATGTATGGGAGGGAGTGCTTGCATCCATGCTTTGGGGGCTGAGGGCATTTTAACTTTTCTGCTTTGCTTCTTTCCTAAACATAAATTCAGTAAACTTCAACAGCCTGCAGTTAATTTAAACCTGCAGTATGCTTGCTTGAACTGGGAGGGATGTTGTGGGGTTAGTGAACTTCCAAAAGGCCTTTGGGCCTAGTACCCCACAATGGCCTTGTGAGGAAATCAGAGGATTCCAGGCTTAACTCTAAGACAGGTGGGTAAGAAACTGGCTACAGGATAGGACCCAGAGAGTCATAGTGAACAAATCTGTGTCATCCTGGTGAGAAGTGGGCAGCAGTGTCCCACAGGGGTTGGTGCTTGGTCCAGTACTTTTTAACATCTTTATTAACAGTTTGGACGTGGGGGTGAAGAGCTCACTGGCCAAATTTGCAGACAACACCAAGTTATGGGGGAGTGTGGTCACACTTGAAGATAGGCTAGATACAGGCGGACCTAGACAGGCTAGCAAGTCGGGCAGATCGGAACCTGATGAAGTTCAGCATCGAGAAATGTAAAGTGCTGCACCTCAGGACAAGCAACTCCCAACATACCTACAGGCATAGCAGCACCAAACTGACTAGCACCACAAATGAAAGGGACCTGGGGGTAGACAGTATGAATATGAGCCAGCAGTGCAATGCTGTAGCCAGTAGGGCAAACAATACTCTGGTATGCATCAACTGATGCATCTCTAGCAAAACTGAGGAGGTGATTCTTCCGCTCTGCTCAGCATTGGTGAGACCGCAGCTGGAATACTGCATCCAGTTCTGGGCATTACACTTTAACAAGGACATAGGCAAGCTTGAGAGAGTTCAAAGAAGAGCCACCTGTATAATCAGTCTTCCTTGTATGGCTTGCCATGAAAAGGCTGAGGGATCTGGGACTCTTCAGCCTGAAGAAAAGAAGGCTGAAAGGGGACCTGATAGCAGCTTACCGCTACATTAGGGGAGTACATCATGGGCTTGGAGAGCAACTGTTCACCAGAGCACCCAAGGGGAAAACTAGGAGTAATGGCCACAAACTCCTGGAAGACCAATTCAGGCTCAACATTAGAAAAAATTTCTTCGCAGTCAAAGTGTCCATTCCATACTGTGGAATAAGCTCCCTCCAGAGGTGGTGCAATCACCTACTCCAGAAATCTTCAAGAGACTAGTGCTGGGGTCACCTGACCCCCCCAGTTCTTTCGTGCTTGGTGCAGGGGGCTGGACCCAATTCTTCCAAGGTCCTTCCCAGCCTTACAATCTATGAATATGAATCTATGAACTTGCACCCATGCTTTTGGGTTCCCAAGAGCTAGGCATGCATGATGTCCAGTAGGGAGTAAGGACACAGATATTTATAGGAAATTTAGCTTTCATGGATAAAAGAGCAGGGCAACAGTAAATAGTACCAACAAAAGTGGGTAACAGAGTTCTGACTGTGTATCAGAGCAGCCAAATTGCGGTAATTGGGGGTGGGGGTGCTGGGCAGGAAGAATGCAGTGTGCAATGCCTGGAGGACCAACCAGACAGAAAACAGGGAAGGCTTGGTGTTCATAAGTAACACTGAACCAAATCAAAGTGAAGCAGTTCAGAGTAGTGCTTGATTTTCCAACTACATTTTTGAACCATTCTAGGTGGCTCTAAACCAGTTAAACAGCCTTGCATGTTCATCTGCTTCAGATTTAAGCCACAATTAAACCAGTCTAAGTGTCATGTGTTCATACACTGAATAATCATTTATATGCTTTTCAGTTTGTTTTTTAATTGAAAGCTGAACACTACTACATTCATGAGCAACCTAAACAAAGCGATAACAATGATGGTCTCTCTATATATTCCATCAGCAAAGATGGTCTCTCCCAAAAGCTTCATTTCGGAAGGTTCTGTCTTGGATGCCAATTTCTCAGCACTGCAAAAATTATACTCTCCATATTCTGTCAGCTGATTAGAGCAGCACATGTCAATGTAAGATCCAATCAGTATGAATGAGGAAAACCACCCCTGCACCCAGCTGAACTGTGGCTTCACATTTACACTTCCCTTTGAGAAAGTTTCTCTCTCTCCTAGCTGTGCTGAGGGCCCAGATAGATGACTGACTATAAAGATGCAATACAGAAACAGAAACATGGCAGGTTCTCATTTTACTACCTATTCTGATGTAAACATGATTTAAACTGACTTTTTACTTTTATTTTAAGTAGAAGCAAAGCTCTATTCATTATTGTCATAGGGGACACTTAAATCAGTGATTCTCCACCTTTTAAACCAAAAGCGCTCCTGGTTCAACTCAAAGCATCCCTCTGAAAATGCCAACTTTTTGTTTTCACTTCCTCTTATTTTTCCCTAGCCAAAAAACACCAATTCCTCTGTTGCAAAGAGCTCAGAAGCAGCACAGGGCCCAATGTTTTTAGGCCATGGATTCCAAAGTGAAACTACTGCATTTATCTGGTGAACCCTAAGCAGAGTTAACAGCACTTAAGGATCCTCAAGCCCCAACATCGTGTGCAGATGATGCCCAACTTCTTCACTCCCAAAACAAGTGCTCCAGCAATGGCTGGAGATCTCACAGTAGCCAGAGGAAAAATTATGAGGACACACTGAAGGCAACCTCAAGGAAACAGATGCCCATGCCAAGAGCTGGGAGGAACTGGCTGCTGACCAGCTCCAACACCACCACAACCTCAATCATGTGGCAGGTGGTTGGGAGGCCAAGCGCCTCACCCACAAAGCAGACAAGAGAGAAGGGAGGAAGGAAAACGAGAGGAATCCAGCTAGGCTGGTTGCCCCCTCCCCTGCCAAAATCCCTGCAAATCCCATGTATGGGGCTGTGGACTTAAGAGTCCAAGGTTTGGACTCCTAAGTCACTTCAAGACCAGTCCATGAATTGTGGGAGAGCATCCTCCTAGCCAGGGACTGCCCACAGCCAGGACGACGCCAGTCAGCAGTGCACGGCCTCCATGGCACCCTTGGAAGGGCCTCCAGGAAGCTTAGGGTGCTGTATGACACCAGCCTGCAGCTGTGTTGGCACATGCAGACCCATGTGGTGCTCCCTGCTGCCTCCGATCACCTTGCCCCTGCTCCCACCAGTGGAGCGAGGGGCACCATCATGGCTTGGGAGGCAAGAGTACTGTGGTTTCAGAGTGAGGGGCACTGGCAGGGCTGGGGTCAGTGGGTCGGGAGTGAGAGGCAGCAACACAGCTCAGGGGCCTGTGGCTCGGCAATGAGGGGCAACAGAACAGGCAGGGACAGGGCACCGTGCCACCCCCCATCCTACCCCTGCCCAGGGGTAGGACATGACAGGTGTCATCTTTTTTGGACCTGGAAATATATGAACCCTAATACACCCAAGAGTTATGCAAACAACTGTGCAAACAAGTCTTCTTATTATTTACTTTATACTGCTCACTATAACTCACCAGCGAGTAAGAACCGGGTTAAAGTTGAAGCATTTTTTGTTTTGATGCAAGCCATCATAAGAAAGTGCTGAAGCAAACCCAGAAGTCGGTTAAGACTGTCCGAGAGTGACTTGGGTCTTGCATGCGCTTGCATCAAGCAGCTGCCGCAAAAATGATCATACACGTTGAACTGAGCATGCACCATGCAGGGGTCGAAATGACAGCACTAATATGAGCGTTATGTCACCCGCAGCACTGAACAGCGTGTCCAAGGCGTTTCCGTGGCCTCCCCACGGACGCCCCAGGCCGGGCCCGGCCATCGCTCACCTTGACAGCGTAGAGCCGGCCGCCTTTGCGGCCCAGGTACACCTTCCCGAAGGCGCCGCGGCTGATGGGCTTCACGATGGTGAAGTCCTCGATGGAAGGCGGTCGCGGCACCGAGATACTCCTCGCACTTCCCTGCGTCTCCGGCGTACCCATGACCCGACCCTGCCCGGTCGCTGCTGCTGCTGCTGCTGCTGCTGGGAGCCGCAGCCCGCGCCAATTCAAAGCTAAGCCCCGCCCCGATGACGCCATCGGCCAACGGCCGCGAGGCCGAGTGCCGTCAAACCTCGCGAGCGCTCCTACGAGCACGGGAAAAGTGGTGCGCATGCGCGCGGCGCTCAGCTGCGGGGGGCGGCCCCGGCAGCCCCTTCGAATCCATGTTCCTTACACCTACGTGTACGCCCCCACACAACCCCAGGACAGGAACCGCCCGAGGCTTCACGTGCCCTGCGTCCGGCACCCTGCGGCTTCCGTAGCCGGAGGAAGGGGGGGCCGCAGTTGCGCTAGCCCGGAAGCTCGTGTCCAGCCACCACGCATTTCCCCCCTCCCCCAGGAGCCGCCCACGTGACAGCCTCCCGCACCAGTGACATACGCAACACGCTCAGGCGCAGTGGGGAGAATGGTTTGTCCCGAACCTTTCCCCCAGCCCAAGGAATGGTCTGCTCCTCGGGAGAGGAGCGTAGCGGCGTCATACAGTCGTTGCCATAGAGCCCGGTTGCAGGAGGACGGAAGTGGGGATATGTGCGACCCGGAAGCGGCCCCTGCTCTCACCGCTTCCGGGGCAGCGGCAGGAGCAGGCTTCGCCGGTAGCAGGAGGCGGCCATTTTCTCTGCGGGCGTTCAGTGCTTCGGGGGCGGGAGGAGGATGTTTTCCCTGTCTACCAGCGTGCAGCCCCAGGTGTGGCCCGGGCCGGGCGGTTCTTCTGGCGCGGGAGCAACGGGGCGGCCGTCACCGGGGGCTGAAGGACGGGAGCGGCGGCTGAGGGCGGAGGAGGCCGCGTCTGGGACCTTCCCATCTCAGGGCGGTTTTTGGCAGGGGTGGCACTGGGACTACTCTTGGGGGCTGTTCGCCGTCGCCGCTCTGGCGGCAACTTGTTTCTCACTATTTCCTCCGCTACCAAGGTCTGGTCCTTCCCGGCTGGGCGTGTGGGGCTTCCTCGGGATCCCGCATTTCCTGCTTATCAAGTTCCGTTTCCAACTTGTGCTCCGCCAGTGGGGTGACGGACCATGGTTTTTTTTTCCTTGCCTGGCCACTGCTAGGCCCACTGACTTCCCCGACTAAGTGACTTTGGCTTTGATTGCACAGACGTGGGGACGTTTGTCTGACCATTTCTCCTTAGTTCCTGCTACGTAAGAGCTGAGTAAGAGCTGAGTCATAACATCGCACTGGTTGTTGGGCTGTTTTAGTTTTGCTAATAGCACTGTATGCTGGCTCTTGGACCGGTTCCTTAATTTCTATGTATACGTTATAAATAAATTGGCTGGCTTGAGACCTGCTGGAGACTACTTTATACTAAGCTGGTGCTTCTGTAATGGCTGTCTTAGTTTCTGCTACATTTAACTGTCCCCCTGCCCCCCTGCTGGTTATAGCTTTGTCCACTATGTGCTTCCTCATCTGTAATGTAGCTGGTCCTGGATTTACTGCTTCTCAGTTTCAGCACTTTCAAGAGCTATCTGTAAACCATCATTTGGCTGGAGAAAACACTGGCTCATAGTTTAATGCAGTGCCAGAAAAAAAATAAATCTTCAACTTCAAACTTTTAGTTCAACTTGCAAAATGTTGCCCCAGCATCATTGGGGTCAACTTTCAACTCCAGGAAGCAAATAGGAGAGGGAATATATAGCTTATTTAATACTTTAGTTTAAATTTGCATGTTGATGCCTAATGTATTTTGTGTTGCTTGGCCTGCTCACATGCAAGTGGCCTAGGAAGGTTCCCGTGGACCAGTCTCTGAAAGGGGAAAGAAAGAACATCAGTGTATAGTAATTTGCAACTTTACTAAGTAAATACACTTTTATCTGAAATTGCACTAAAGTTCATCCTTCAAACAAAATGTGTGCAGCCTTCTGTTATGCTCCTGTTACTGCATTTCTTCAGCATGCTCTACTTGAAGTATAATACACTTTTTCTTTTGGCTCAGGCACAGCACAAAATGGGTTGGGCTGTGAGATTCTGTGAGAGAGCATCAAAATCCTGGCTTGGTAGACACTTCTAGATTTGATTTTCATCAATCTGTACCTCTTCATATGAGCCAAGTTGGCATGATATAATTTGGGTAACAAGCTAAACACACAAGTCTTAAATGGTTAAAGGGGCAGTGTCAGGTTAAAGTCTAAGTTTGCTACTGCTTTTTTTTGAAGTTCTTGGTCTTTTTTTTTGTCATTTTAGAATTCTGTTTCCTCTTCATCTGTGCTTTTTCTCTAACTGCTATGTACAAGACGCATTCAGATTGGAAATTTTTTAACTCCAGGGGATTTTGTTTTAATGAAACTGAAAATACCTTTCTTTCATGTCAGTTACAGTAATTTAGGTGTTACAACTAAGGTAAAAAATTGAAGCATGACTTAAACTGACAGTTCGTCTCCATTCTCAAGGATAACGTTAACCTCTTCCCATTGCAGTAGGAATCAACCATGGCAGCACATGTCAGATTGTATCTTGGATCTTGTGCCCACTAGGCATGCTAGTAGTTGTTTGAGGTTGGAGCACGGATTCAAGCAGGACAGGATTAATTATATAAGACATTGAGACTAATATTTTGCACAACAAATGCATACTAGTCCTGTGACTTAGTTTTGTCCTGCCTTGGGATTCATGTATATGTTGATGTGCTCTGCGCCCACACCGGCAAGAACATGCAAATGGTACAACAGCCAGTGTTGTAGTATGGATGTTTTAAAAGTTGCATGAAAAGTTATTAAAGCCGGGTTCTTTGTGATCTTGAAGGAATGATATTAATCTTGTAGACTATAGTATCTATTGATCCCAAAGAATAGGTAAACAATTTGTGAAGTTGACTAATTTAACATAATACACAGCTTTTTACTGTACGTAAATTAGCGTAGGCCTTAACCTACTGTGTACAGTTGGTAAATAAACTCATTGCAATTTCTGCTGCTAATTTTGAGCAAGATTATAACATAAATCTAGCAGAAACTAGTACAGCATACAGTCCCCTAGAAGATGGTATCACAAAATTCCTTTTCTTATCTGTTTTATAACAATACCCAATATTTCATCTAACAAATGACTTTTTTGCTCACTCATTTTAAAAGGTTTTCAAGAAAAATAACTTCAAAGATATAAGAAGTCAAAAAA